GTTGGAGTAGACTACAAACTGAACTAGAAATCCTACGAAGCCATAGCATTGAGCCACGGGCTCTAACTGCACGCGTTTCACGGTGTAATTGCAACCTTCCTTCCAGTGAGGTTTGGTTTGCAAGAACGGAAAATGGAATGTTGGTGGACAGGAAAAAAGATTGAAAGATGGGCTCAAAGCCAACCTTAAAATCTCTGGCATAGACACTGAGAACTGGGAAGCCCTGGCCCTTGATCGCTCCAGCTGGAGGTCAGCTGTGACCAGCAGTGCTGCAGAATTTGAAGAGGCACGGATGGAGGGTGAAAGAGAGAAATGTGCCAAGAGGAAGGTGCATCAAGCCAACCCCGAATGAGACCGCCTTCCACCTGGAAACCAATGTGCTTACTGTGGGAGAAGATGCAGGTCAAGAATAGGGCTCCACAGCCACGAACGGACCCACAAGAATACTGATCATGGAAGACTATCCTACTCGGCCAACGAGGGATCGTGTAAGTAAAGTAAGGTTTGCAAGCCCTTCCCACTCAGACTGAATCTACACTGCCATATAATCCAAATCAAAGGATTCAGAAACTGGGTTATATGCCATTGTAGATGGTCTCAGTTTTGTTAAGAGGCTTCTAGCTTCCAACAGGAAGGCATTGCTGTGGATTGAAGCAGCCGGACGGATGGGCATTCCACCGGATCCCTTCCCAGATGTGAACCTTCACTGAATGTTTCCAACAAAAGGGATCTACATAGAGATGAGACTGGGACAGAAGCCATTTTCCTTGGCCCGAGGGGCTGAAAACTGAGACAGCTATCCATTCCAGTCAACAAGACTTCTTTCTGCATTGTTAATTCTTCACAGCCTGGGGATCACAACCAGACACAGTGAAGACATCTGTCCTTGCGCTTGGCTACTCTGCTGAATATGCATGCAGTGTGAAACACATCTCACCACGCTAAAACACTGGATGTGGCTCTTAATGAGACATGTTGCATGGTCACAGGATGTCCACGCCCCACACCAATGGAGAAATTATACTGCTTAGCCGGTATTGCACCACCTGACATCTGTCAGGAAGTAGCAGCTGGTAATGAAAGGACATCTCCATCCCATCTCCTGTTTGGATATCAGCCAGCATGCCAACGCCTTAAATCAATAAACAGCTTCCTAAGATCTACAGAGATACTAACAAGAACACCTCAGCAAGCGAGAGTCCAAAAGTGGCAGGCTAAAACCCGGAACCTCAATCCATGGCTGATACTGAATGAGAAACTATCTATCTATCTATCTATCTATCTATCTATCTACCTATCTATCTCTATCTTATCTAGCTATCTGGAGGATTGCTAGGAGTTGCAGTTGCAGAGTGGGAAATTGGAAATATGCAGGGATTGGGATACTCTCAAAGAAATCACATGAGAAGAAATCTTGCAGCATGGAAGCAGTGCATTTGGATCATCCTCCTCTCCTGGTGTAGGGAATGCTGGGAGCTGTAGTTCAGAAGACAGTGTGGATATGCTATTGTTTGTTTTGTTTGCAAGGGGGAGTCGTTTTTGCGCATGCGCTGTAGCGTCTTTTTGCTTTTTTGGCTTTTTAAGTCCCTTCTGCTGTGTTTTCCAGTGTTTTTATGAGTGATGGTCACTTGTTGGCCTGATAAGTGTATTGTGTCCAAATTTGGTGTCAATTTGTCCAGTGATTTTGAGTTGTGTTAATCCCACAAACAAACATTACATTTTTGTTTATATACATTGTGTCAGAAGAGGATTGAGGGTACAGTTACAATGTAGTTAAAGACACAAACAACGTTAAAAACGTGGCATTATGTTAAATGTCCTTTGACCAGAAGTTGGCTACTTGGGAGTGCCTCTGGTGTGGCTGTGAGAAGGTCCTCCCTTGTGCATGTGGCAGGGCTCAGGTTGCATTGTAGTAGGTGGTCTGTAGTTTGCACACAGAAGAGTGGATGACAGATGACACTGAACAGACTGCTCTGGCACCATGAGATGCAGAGCCAATCTTGAGAAATGGGGCTACAAAGTGGAATCCTTGACATGCGAGTGTGGGGAAGAGCAAACCACTGACCACCCGCTGCAATGCAACCTGAGCCCTGCCACATGCACCAGGGAGGACCTTCTTGCGGCAACATCAGAGGCACTCCAAGTGGCCAGTTTCTGTTCAAAGGACATTTAAAAAAATTAAATGCATTTTAACTGTACCCTCAAGTTGCTTTTGACATTTATATAAATAAAAATGTAATGTTCGTTTGTGGGATTAACATAAGTCAAAAAACCACTGGACGAAATGACACGAAATTTGGACACAACACTCCTAACAGACCAATGAGTGTCCATCACTCATAACACACACACCCCACACGAAAAACCAG